CCACCTCCTGCACAGAGTCCAGCTGCACTGCATTCAGGATCTCCTCCATAACGGGAAGTTGTGGACGATCTACAAATTCTAATTTCCTACAACACAGGGGTGGTGGGTCCTTTCCCTGTTGGGCCCTTTCCATGAGGCAGGTAAGCACTTCATCTGGGCCTGTTTCGAAGAAACAGAGATCTGTGAGCACCTCCATGGAGGTCAAGGGTTGGGGCTTCTCCCCTGAACTGGAATCCTTCTCTGTGTGAGTCACAGTCCTGGGCTGGGTGGTCACTGGATCCTCTGAAAAGGTCACAGAGGCACTGGATTTGGTTCCAGACCACACTTTCCAGAAGTTGGTGTCCGTGTCCAGGAGGACATCCAGCGCTCTCAGTCTGCATCTCCTGGGGTGAACCTTCAGGGAAAGCAGGTTATCAAAACCATCCAGGGCAGCCTTTAAGATGTCCTGGTGAGAATGCCAAGACTCCATGAGAGCCCCTAGTGGGAGCTGGAGGAAAGGCCAGGACCGCACCATGGCTTTCACTGTCTCTCTGTGTCCCCCGATGACAGCTGCCATGAACAGTGGTGGGAAGAGTTGTGTGGGCAGCCACTCCAGTGCAGCAATGGCCGAGGGCTCGTCCTGCAACACGCTCTGGATGGCCAGGTCCAGGAGCCTGGGTGGGTTCCTGCTGCTCATGCTGATCAATCTGCTCCAAAGGGAGTCCTGACCTGTGAATGAAAAGAGGGGTCTGCTCAGACTTCTGGGAGAGCCAAACTGCTTGCCCCAGGACTCCTAAATCTGGACCCTGCCCCCCTTAGCTCATCAGTGGGGAGCTTTCCGGCTATGGCGCTCCTCTTACCAACTCACAGTTGTAGAGGCTGGCAAGGTCCACGTGAGACTTGGATTTCAAACTGGGTAGTTCCTTGGACCCATGTGAGTCCTGAAGTTGTGGAATCCAAGATGGGCAGAGCCAATGGTGGGCAGTGGCCACAGCAGCTGGGGGGTGCATAAATCAAAGATTAGTAGGAAATATAGTGTTGCATGTTGCATCCAAGAATCCTATGGCTTACTGTGCAGGAGAGACAAATTCAAGAGGAATGACTGAGCATTCCCCACATGGAAATTTCTAGATCTATCTTAAACTACCATGCTCTTTGTTTTGTGAGAACATCTATGGGAGGGGGGAAGAAAGTCTTGTCAAAACAGTGAACAGTCAAATTTGCTCACCAATCACTAACGAAGAAACTGAAGGATTCTTCCAACCACGTCTGTATAAAATTGACCACCCACGTAGTCAAGAGGCATAGATAATGATTGGTAATTGCAATAATAAAATAGGCAACAAAGAGGAAGCAAAAGCAGTTAGAAAATATGACTTTGGTGATAGAAAGAAACCTGGAAATAACAGGGTAGGGTTTGAAAAGACAATGACTTCCTCCCCATACACACCTCTTTAATGATGCAAGTGGCAGCTCTCCATGTAGACTTATCCCCGTGTGATTCACAGAAATCAAATCGGCTACATACATGTATGCCAAATGTTTTAGAGTACGGAAGAGACCCCAATCCCAAATAGAAATTAAGGACAGCATTCACTCACCAAAGACACATGATCTGGATGAGGAATGCCATTAACATGAAATCAGGGTGTAGTTCAAAGACTCACAGTCAGGATATTCCATCACTAAGTCACGGAATACAGGAAACTGTCAAATCCATGAGTCATTGGAAGCTCATTAATCACAATAGGAGCAGGGATTATGGAAGCCCAAAGAGAGCCAAGATTAAGAAACATACTTTAGGATATATACTATACTATAAACTATACTATATACTATAGCTTAGACAATTGATCCTTCCAAGCAAGGCATTCTAAGCAACAGGGCTAGGGTATGCCTTTTGACTGTGCAACCTCCAGTATTGGACTGTCCATCAAGGACACACCCGGTCAATCCTCTAAGGGAACTGCTCCTCCCTGCACTGCCTGGAGGAGGGTGGAGGTAATCCACTCTCCAATGCACCCTACCTGTGGGCAAGATGATCTACTTCACTGTTCCATGATCTCAAGGAATTTAATGAAGTGGGGTGTGTTTTTTGTTGTTGTTTTTCATTTCAATATTATGTATACCCTCCCAAAAAGGAAGTACGCAGACTTAAGTCGTAACATAAAAGATATCGGGAGGAGCTTGTTATCTGTAGTAAAACATGAAGCTGAAATGAGTCAAATACATGAGAGCACAAATATAACCTCAGATACACCCAACATGTGTGTTTCCAAGACTGTAATTCTTAGTGGGAGAAGAGCCCCATCTCTCTCCCCTATATAAGATACAGGAATCACTAAAGGGATAATTCCATTTCACCTCAGTGGGCAGGATCACCTACTTGGGGAAACACTGTTATTTATCTTTATTGGAGCTGACTCTCAGCTCTCCGAATTGGAAAAGCTGATGGTTTTGAAACCTCCGACAGTTAAAGGTAACAGATGAATAATTCCACACTAGTGCACAGCTTCCAAACTGACATCCTTACAAACCGGCCACACTGGAGAGTCGTGACCACAGTAAGTTTATAGACTTGAACCATTATGCAAAGGGAAGATATCAAGACACATCAAGTCCCTGAAAAGGTGCTTGTTTGGGTCGGGTCCAAACTAGGCAGCCCTGTTTGCACTAAGCTGACGCAGGTCAGGGCCCTGCACGTGCTTCCCACAGGTCAGCAGCAGACAGCACCAGATAAGATAACCGCCAGATAAGATAACCAGTGAAGCCAGATATTCCGGGTTTGATGAAAGCTGCAAGGAGTAGACAAGCAATTCTCAGAGTGTCCAGACCCGTGCACCCAGCTGCTGGATACGACTTCCCTGACCTGTTGGCCTGGGTCACAGAACTTCATCTGGGATCTCCCCCTAATAAAGCTATTTCTGGTCTCCCTTGTCCTGCCAGATAGGTTTGTCTGCCTCCCTGTACCTCAGATTCACCTTTACAGTACTGAGAAGTGATAGAGATGGAGGGTAACCAGGACGCCCTAATCTGTGTACCCTGATTATACTGAGTAGAGAAAATACATCTCTATGTTCATGATGGAATATAGAATACATTCACTTCACATAGGCCTCCAAGATAGACAAGTTTGGAACCCCACCCTGCAACGTCTTGGTCCCTCCCCACAACGCTCCTCAGAACCATTTAGAAAGTTTTCACGCTTCTCCCCATTTCAACTCACAGTTGCAGAGGCTGACAAGGCTCCAATTTCAGTCTTGACTCTGACCCCTGATCAAGTAGATCCAGTGGCTGATGAACCCAAGATGGCAGGTCCAATGGCAGACTTCTTCCTCAACGGTGTTGAGACTGACAACTTCCAGAGAAGAAGGAATGATGGCAGGATTCTGTCCCGAGCCCCCAAACCTTCAGGTCAGATGAAGGGTCCAGGTCCAGAACAAGGCTACCGAGCTTTCAGAGTCCTTTTAAATCATGAGACCACGCCCACAAGATAGCTATCTCCCCCCTCATTGGCTATTCACAGTAGGTCTCAGCTTGGAATTGATGGCATTTTATGAAATCTCATCATAAAGGCTGATGCCATCACAAGGAACCAATCCCTGAGAATCCCGACCCAGCCCTCTTGACCCAAACTCTCAGCCATCCCACCTTACCCACTGTGATTGCGACAATATAGAAAACTTTGAGGAGTGTGTTAGCAGAGGAAAGTGGATTAAAGAATTGGTTACAGAATTGGCTCTAGCGCCGATTCTCATACAGGCAGCATAGCTGTGTCCTTATGGATATTCATCTGTGTAACTCATTTCCCATAACACAAAATTACTAGCTCTGTGTCTCTTCCAACTTAGAGCCAATTTGTGGGAAAGAGTAGAAGTACCTCTTTGGTTTCCTAAAGACTGTGGATCTCTCCAGGAGTAGACGGCCTCATCAAGCCCCACAGATTGGCTGACCTGGTGGTAAACACCCCAATGCTTTACCAAACATACCGCCTCAACTGCTTGTCTCTAGAGCATAGCAGGGATGATGGGGTCACACTGGGAGTATTTAAAGGGTTGACCTCTGGAGAATGGTCCGGTACACTGTCTTCATATTCAAATGCTCTTATTAAAGAAGCATGAACAACCAGAAGTAATTGTGTCATCCTTTAGGAGGCCGAAATCCAAATCCAGGGCTTCAGCTGGAGGAGGAGGCTCTCTCCCTGTTGAGTCTGAGGTCATTTCCCTCTATCCATGCGACATCTGAACCCTTGACCTCCCTCGTATCTGCCTGTGTCTGGGCATCAGCCTTGCCTTCTTTCTAGGTGTGCCTTGTGGGACTGTGAGTCCAGAGACACACCCTGATCCAGGTGTCTTTTCCTGGCTGTAGTTAGCTACCTACTCTATGTACAAGCAGCTCTCTCCTTAAATCCCATGAGAGAAGAAAATTTCTTCAGCCACATCCCAGAGAAACTCCCTTTGTATGCATTTCCTCGGGGTTGTGAATCAATGAACAGTTTTATATCCTTGGGCATCTGACCTCCAGGTCTCCAGTCTTGCTGCAGGGAGATCTTGCTCCTCTCTGCTCACTTCTCAAAAATCCCTCGGGAGAAGAAGGGATCAGGATGCACACCTCAGGAAACTCTCCTGACCTCAATCTGATAAAGATTGAGAAAGGATTAGGGATTACCATCCCACCCTGAATCCTTTTACTGTGGAAAGTCTTCATACGGGATCCCAGAATAGCAGCTCCATTCACAGAAGCCACATTCTATCATAAAAAAAATAGCAAAATCAACCACAGTGCCCTTGTGTCCCTGCGTCCTTATTGAAACCTGCAGGTCTAATTAAAACTTCCCCGTGGCTCCTTTATGGAGCTTAATCATAGGGCCCCACACTTAGAGGTTCTATATCATGCCCTTTGACAGGAAAACAGAAAAGGTGCTCACACCCCTCTGGCAATTGAAAATGTATGTACTGTAACCCATAATCCAGAATAAAGTATTTTAAAAATCTTACTGCCATTGTTGATGACTACAAAGGACACACAGGACAGAGGAGACTGGCCCTAAGAGTTTCTGTGACTGTAACGCTGTGTGGGAGTAGAAAGCCCCATCTTACCGGTCATTCTTCCCGCTCTGTCTTGTGAAGGAAGCTGCTTTCTTCATACGTGATGTCACTGATGTCATTCCACAGCTGGTGCTATTTCCTGCTGTTACTTTTCAATGAATCATATCTGCTGTTGACATGGTCTTGACATTCACGTGTGATGGATCTCGGGTTATATTTATGCTCTCATATCTTTGAATTTTCAGCTGCATGGTCTCAGCTTCATTTTGGACTGCTCATATTGAACTCCTCCAAAATCTCTTTTATGTTATCAGCTCCTCATTTCCCCCCCTCCCTCCCTAATACCCCCTCCCTCATGAACCCTTCATAATTCATAAATTATGATTATTTTGTCATATCTTACACTCCCCGGCGTCTCCCTTCACCCACTTTTCTGTTGTCCATCTCCCCAGGGAGGAGGTTATATGCAGATCCTTGTAATCGGTTCCCCCTTTCGACCCCACCTTCCCTCCATCCTCCGGGTATTGCCACTTTCACCACTGGTCCTGAAGTGGTCATCTAACATGGATTGAATTTTTTATAATTTCCTGTGTTCCATGCCTTATTGAACTACTCTTTATTTTTTTCTTTTTAAAATAATTTTATTAGA